GAGGGAGACCCTCACGGAGAGCGGGCTCGTCGACCTGGATGACGTAGATGCCAGCAGACTCAAGGTCAACAACCTCGTCGCGGAGGGCGAGAGCAAGTTGCTGGGCCTGGACAGACTGGTGGACATCGTCACGGGGGAAGGACCATCGGAGGCAGGTGATGGGTCCAGTAAGCATACCCTTCATGGGCTTCTTGGAGATGGAGGCGGCGTACTTGGACTCCTTGACGGTCATGGGAGCAGGGCGCGAGATGTCACCGACGATGATCGGGGGACGGACGCAGCGGGATCCGTAAGACTGGACCCAACCCTTGGTGGTGAAGGCATAACCGTCAAGGCGCTCACCGAAGTACTGCACCATGTCGTTACGCTCGGGCTCGCCGTGGACGTAGACGTCAAGGCCGAGCTCGTCCTGGATCTTAACGACCTCCTCAATCTCCTTCTCGATGAACTTCTCGTACTCCTCGGGTGTGATCTCACCCTTGGTGAACTTGTTACGCGAGATACGGATCTCCTTGGTCTGGGGGAAGGAGCCGATGGTGGTGGTAGGGAACATGGGGAGGTTGAGGTGCTTCTTCTGCTGAGCGTAACGCTCGGGGAAGCCAGACTTGCGCTCGTGCTGCTCAGGGGTGACGCTGGCCTGGCGGTCCTTGACAGCCTTGTTGTTGGTGCGCTCAGATGAGGCACGAGCCTGCATCGACTTGGCGTTGGCCTCAAGAGCCTCACGAACGGATGATGGGCCGTCGTTGACAGCCTTGGCGATGACAACGACCTCGGAGACCTTCTGACAAGCGAAGGAGAACCAGTCCTTGACCTCCTCGGGCAGCTTCTTTTCGCTGTCGAGAGAGTGGGGAGTGTGGAGAAGGGAGCTGGAGGTGGCGACGAGGACACGGTCCTTGCCGAGCTTCTGGACAGCAGTCTCAACAATCTCGATGGCGTTCTTGAAGTTGGTCTTCCAGATGTTGCGGCCATCGACGACACCGACGGACAGAACCTGGCTGGAGCCAAGCTTGCCGATGACGCTCTCGAGCTGTTCAGGGTTCCTGACAAGGTCGATGTGAATACCAGCAACACCCTGGAGGCTGGGGAAGACCTCGAAGTTGTGGACAATGTCACCGAAGTAGGTGGCGAGGACAAGCTTGGGCAGACCGCTGCCGACGAGCTTCTCGTATGCGGGCTTGAAGGCATCCTTGACCTTCTGGGGGAGGTCGTAGACGAGGACAGGCTCGTCAATCTGGACGTACTCGGCACCAGCCTCCTTCAGCTTCTGGAGGAGCTCGACGTATACCGGCAGCAGCTTCTCGAGAAGGGTGATGGGGTCGACGGACTGGCCACGGTCGGCCTTGCCAAGAGCGAGGAAGGAGACAGGTCCGATGAGGACGGGGCGGGTGGTGATGCCAGCCTCCTTGGCCTCGAGGAACTCAGCGACGGGCTTGGGGTTCTCGGCGAGGGTGAAGGTCTGGTTGTCTTGGAGGGTGGGCTTGACGTAGTGGTAGTTTGAGTCGAACCACTTGACCATCTCCTGTAGTGGGGTTAGATGGTGTTGATAACTCCCGAACGTTCGGGACTTACCAGCGAGGGGACGTCGACACCGTCCTTCTGGTGGCCACGGCCCATGGCGAAGTACTCATCGAGCTTGTGCAGCGAGTGCTTGGAGTAGCGCTCTGGGATAGCCTAGTCCTGTTAGTCGACTGCAGCGGGTATTAGATGACGTGTGCTTACGTTGAAGAGCTGGATGTGGTCGAGGAGGTGGTCGTAGAAAGCGAAGTCGTTGCTGGGAATGACATCGACGCCGGCGTCCTTCTGGATCTTCCAGTGCTCCAACCGCAGACGCTTGCCCTCCTTGATCAGGTCGTCGCGCGAGAGCTTGTCCGCCCAGTAGGCCTCGTTGGCCTTCTTGAGCTCACGGTCCGCACCCATGCGGGGGAAACCGAGTACTGAAGAGTGTACCATTGTGATGTGATTGTCCGATGCGGACAACTGTGATAATTGGGGGATGGGTAGGATGTGGTAGAGGGGAGGGGGAAGAGGGTGAGGGAGGAAGGTGGGATGTAGGAGGAAGAGTGGTAGCGGATGGTGTGCTTTATGTTTTTTGCTGGCGTATGCAGCAACGTCGCGGGGTTGGCGCCTACGTGGCTCCGATTCGACGGTGCACTCACCGCCCTCAACTTTATTCTGCAACGGCGAGAACAATCCGCCGTTCGTCAGGGCTTCCCTCAATCTACGCAGTGTGGAGCGATTATCTTGGACTATCCTGCTACTTTAGCGCTCCCATGCCCACAGCTATCGCGCACTAGCTCTGCTAATGCTAAGTTCTCCCCAAAGCGACATCGGCGGAGGGGCGCTCGGGGCCTTGGCGGTGACGAGCTTGCGCAACATCAAGCGTGTCCGGTGAGAACTCGGATGTTTCCACAGCACAGGGACGAGGCGCCCTGTAAAGATTCACGCAGGAACGATCCCTTCTCGACTGGGTGTTGGGTATTGGCCATGGCTAACACGTCGTCCATGACAGCATGAATCAGCTCCGCGCCAGCTCTTAGCGGGTTCTGCATCTCAACAGGCATCTTCTGGGTTAGCTCAGACCCTGAAGATCATCGACATCGGGACAATGCCATCAACTCGTCTCGAGCAGAACACCAAGGCGGCATGCGAGTCAGGTGCCGTCGGTGGTTTGTACTGCAGCTCTTCTCACGATGGTCGGTAAATGTCCGAGCGAAGGGTTCACGACGAGGCGGCGGAACCACCGAGTACTTGCCTTATTTAGCTGTCTCCACAACCCCGCATCATGTATAAAACCCCGCCATCAACAAGCCAAGTAGACAATAACAAGCGCAACAACCCCCCGAGCCAGTGAAATAAACACGGATAATATTCGCACGCATATCAAAATGGCTTCAAGACCGACTCACACCCGAACCGCTTCCACAAACCTGGCCGGCAGCTCAGGCCAGCGCGTGCTGGAGGGACGAAATGCCATCATAACCGGAGCATCTCGAGGTATTCCAGCCACACACCCAAACTACATCCACTTCTAACACCCCCAGGAATCGGCGTAGAAATCGCCCGCAACCTCGCCAGCAAAGGCTGCAACGTCGTCATAAACTACACCTCCGACTCCTCCTCTGAGACCGCCTCCTCCCTCGCCTCCGAACTCAGCGCCGAATACGGCATAAAAGCCATCAGCGTACAAGCAAGCATGGGTTCAGAAAACGGCCCCGCCCACCTCGTCGAAGTAACCAAGAACAACTTCCAGCACCCCAAGACGGGCAAGTTCCAACTCGACATCATCATCAACAACGCGGGCGTCGCTGGAAACAACTACGTCGAGAACGTGGATTGCGAGGACTTTGCTAGGCAGTTCAATATCAATGTACGGGGGCCGTTGCTGCTGGTGAAGGCTGCGACGCAGTACTTGCCGAATGATCGATCGGGCCGTATCGTTAACCTCAGCTCTGTGAGTTCGAGCCTGGGATACAAAGGCCAGTCTATCTACGGGGGCACAAAGGCAGCGTTGGAGAGCATGACGAGGACGTGGTCGCGCGAGTTGGCGGAGCGCTGCACGGTCAATGCGATTAACCCTGGTCCTGTTGCTACGGATATGTACTGGAGTAACGACGACGCGTTTATTGCGCAGAACAAGCCGTTTATCGAGAATACGCCTCTAGCGGCGCCGAGGAAGGGCATTGATCCGGAGAGGATATATGAGGCGTCGCAGGGTGCTGGTGGACGGCCGGGGTATAGCGAGGAGATTGGGGGTGTAGTGGGGATGTTGTGTTTGCCTGAGGCGGGGTGGACTACTGGAAGTGTGATTTGCGCGAATGGTGGCATGAAGTTCAGCTTTTAGATGCTGACAGCAATAGCAACTACACAAATATCATGTTAAGAGAATATTCTTTACTTGATGTAATACCTACATCACCGCACATGTGTAACGCTCTGCCGTACCTCCCCCTTCCGACCCTCCCAAACCTCACTCTCGATAACCACACTCGACGTCTTCCTAATCCCCCCACCTACATCTTCTCTCACAACAATCCCTCGTTCAGAATCCCTATCACACATCCACCCTGCACCCATCCTCTCCTCGCTCTCCACGCTGACACCATCATCCTCTACATGTTCATACCTCATCGTCGATTTAGTCCGCGAGCCAATGGTTTTGAGCTCGGATTGATGCTGCGAGTCATCCGCATCACATCCTCCTGCACTACGGCTTTGCTTGGTACCGCGACTTCGATTCCGACTACTGCGTAGCGTAGATTCGCCGATGAGGTGGGGGGCAACGTGTCGGAAGAAGAGGCGCATGGTGGGGAGGCAGCCGGTTATTATCACGAGGTTGGCTTCTATGAGGCTATCAGGATGTTAGTCGGGGTACTTGATGGTGACAAGATTGGGTGGACGTCGCTATGAAGATTCTGCTTTCGGATACAGGGTGGAATACGATGTGATGAACTTACATCCAGATACCCGGCAAGACGATTGCCCATGTTTGATCGATGGTCTGCAGCATAGGGAAGAGAAGGGCGAGACGAACGCCACTTGTTATGCACGTTCTGTCGCTTCTGTCAGCTCATGCTTTCCATCTCCACCATCTTTTGGGTCGGTTGCCACCTACAGCGAGCCCACCCCAAAAATACATATCAACCCCATCTTCTGCGCCCTTGGCATCTGCAACCTAACCACCATCGGCACCGGCAGAACCAGCAACAAGATATCCGTCGCCATATTCAACACCGCCGTCGCCATATAAAGCGGTGTTCTATCAATACAACTTCCTTCGATGATCGTAACATCCCAGTTCCGTCGGAAAGGCGTACAAGCGAAGATCAGGGGGAAGACAAGGGCAATGTTGTAGCCGACAACGAGGAACATGCTAGCGTAGACACATGATTTGAACCACCGGAGGTGCGAGAGGCGGAGGTAGAAGAAGAGGAGGGAGAGTTTGGCGCTCGCGAGGAAGGGGCAGTAGATTATGCTTGCTACGCTGATCAACTGTTGAGTGGTTAGTCGGGATTGTTGGGGAGGAGTCGATGGGCGGTGCTTACGTTCATGGTGGAATTGACGCGGTGGCCAGTTAGTTCCCAGATGTGGACGCCGAGTGTGCCGCGGCCGTACTGGACTGCTGGGTGGTTAGATCGCGGATGGTGGAAGTGGGCCTCGGTATACGCACAGAGAATTGGAACCTGTATTGCGATGGAGAAGCACTGTAGGTTTGATCGTTAGTACGATCTGTCGAACTATCAGTCTTCTTCAAGCTGCGATGCGACGCACCCAGGCTATGAGCAGCGCTACTATAGATGTTGTTAGGAATTGCATGTAATGTTTATAATCTTTCACGATGTTGACCAGAGCGGGTGAGCTTACTATCATCTGATGTGAAGTTCTTCGCTAGCCTCGTCTTCGTGTAGACGCGTATAGCCATAAAGATGGCGGCGATGATCATGCCCAGGGTGCCAATCCAGAAGTTAGCAGCCTCGCCCGATCGCTGCGGGTTATCAACATCAACGGTGTATCCAGGCGGAGCGGGAAAAATGGGCTTGTCCATATCCATGATGCAAATATGTGGAGAAAGTGTGCGTTCTGCTAATCGGCGAAGCTGTTGTGTGTCTGTATTTCAATTCAAATTCTCGTCCCCATCATCCGGGTCATCGCAATCCGTCATTTCTTGCTCTGATCAACCGACATACTCAACATGGAACCATGTTCCATGTCACATGAAATCCTGCTGTTGACTGTTGTGTTCAGTCATAGCGCACAAGCAATGTCACTGTATACGCCGCATCGCTTAGGCAGTGAGGCTCACACATGCAGCAAGGGATTGGCCTGGAGTACTGCACCGCCGACCAAGAACTTGGTCAGTATACCTGTGCCACTCCACTGCATCGGAGTCATGACTGTGCATGGCAATAATGGCTCAGATATCTTCCTGTCTGGCGGAATTTTGGGGTGAGCATAAGCATGCCAAGGATGTGGCGTCCATAGATTTAGCCATCCCTTAGGCATCGCATCCATCAGTGTGGTCGACCGAGGTTTCCGAAGCGTTTGTTGATGATCGCTAAAGCAACCGTGCCTCGTTTCCGACTCTCCGCGGTCCGCTCCTCAGGGTCGCGTATGATCCTCAAATTAACTTCTTGTGCCGAGCCGTGTGTAAAGTGATCTCGAACCTATGGAGAAGCATGAGTTCATTGACCCCTGCAAGCCACCTTTTAGCGAACAAATCGACAGCATTGCCGTTTCGTTACCGACGGGTGTATAGCCTTCGCGGCACAGGCCGAACGCCACATTGAGTCCAGTCTTAGACACAATTCTAGCATCCTTCGAGCATCCAGCTTCATCTCATATGTCGAGTCATTGATGAGCAGGAATTGCGCATCCTTGTTGATGTTATTCCCTCAAACTGTTGAGAGATATGAGCGAGTAGAAAAGCATGCCACAACCTGCGTCAAGGTTTCGGTCATCGAGTGTTCCTTGTGTTATCTCTTCACCTATTGGACTGGTTATCATCATGACTCGCTTGTCCCTTACCTTACTTGCCGCAGCGGCTGTCGTCCCATTCGCCCATGCTGACTATTGCGTGAGGCTGCTCCCTAGTTCCCTTCTATCCGAAACATCTGCTAACATCTACAGTGCTCCGCTCTTGCACTCACCTCCCTAAAGAGTAGGCTGCTCTACCCTGGTCAAGACGCGTATGAGACGCGGGAAGATTCCTACTTCGATGTCAAGCAGCAGGTTATCACACCCAACTGCATCGTCCAGCCCAAGACCGCGAAAGAGATCGCCCTTGCTGTCAAGACCCTCACAGCTGCTAGTCGATTGAAGTCATGCAAGTTTGCGATTCGTAGTGGTGGACACACTCCGTACGTTGGAGCCTCAAACATTGAGGATGGCGTAACACTCGACCTGCATTATCTCAGCACCGTCGAGTATGATGCTAAGAAGGCCCTGGTCAAGGTCGGTCCTGCGGCGACATGGAACGACGTATACGACACTCTGGAACCACTGAATGCGATGACGAGTGGTGGGCGTTCGTCCACAGTTGGCGTCGGTGGTCTTACGCTCGGCGGTGGAATCTCATACTTCTCGCCGGGGCGGGGTCTGGTCTGCGACAACGTCATCGAATTCGAGGTTGTCCTTGCTGACGGTCGTATCGTGACCGCGTCCAAGACTTCGCATCCAGATCTCTTTGCTGTCCTCAAAGGCGGCAACAACAACTTCGGTATCGTTACCAGCTTCAAATTCGGCACCTTCGACTACGCCGGCATGTGGGGCGGCCTTGTCATCTACCCAGAGTCGACCATCCAAGATCATTTCAAGGCCCTGATCAACTTCTCCAACAATATTGACAAGGAACCGAAAGGTTCGGCTATCGTCATGCCGGTTTATCAGAGCTCAGCGGGGGCCGACTTGATACTGAACGCGTACGACTATGCTGAGCCAGTATCAAGACCCGCGGCCTATGACGAGTTTTTGGCGATTCCTGGCAACATCTCGGACTCCACAGGTATCAGGAACATGTCATCGCTGGCAGCGGAACTCGCGGGCGCTACTACACACAGGTAAGCTAGCCGCCATTGCTCTTGACAAGTGCTGATCAAGACCTAGCGTATACTTTGGCACACTGACTTTCGCGAACGATCTTCGCGTCATGACCAAAGCCCATGAGATCTACATGGATGTGCTGTCCAACCTAAAAGCCAAGGCTACGGGCGACTGGCAGATCTACGTGCTCTACCAGCCCCTTCCGCCTTCGTACTGGAGGCAGAGCGCGTCCAAGGGCGGCAACATGCTGGGCTTGGAGCGCTTTGGTGAGCAGGTGCTGTGTCGTAAGTTGCTCCGGGATTCTGTAATGACTGCATTCTGATCAGTGACAACAGTATACCAACCCTACATCTCTTGGCAAGGTGCTGAGCAAGACGCGCTCTTCCAAGCCGCAGGCGCCGATCTCATCAACGGAATCCGCGAATATGCTGAGAGCATCGGTGCCGACAACCCATACCTATACCTGAACTACGCGGATAACACGCAAGATCCCCTCGCAAGCTATGGTTCCGCTTCCGTGAAGAAGATGAGGGCTGCAGCGAAAAAGTATGATCCTTCCGGTGTTTTCCAGAAGCTTGTGCCGGGTGGCTTCAAGATCTCCAATGTTCAGTAAATGATGGATGCCTTTCCATAGAACGAATAGATAGCAACGAATGTGTCGGTGTGACAACAACATGACTATATCGTTTCGGGAAGTGCGACTTCCGTTGTGAACGCGTGCATACCGCTTTCGGATGATGTTCCCGGGTGTCAACGTCGCTGTTGGGCTGAAGTCTAAGCAAAAGAGTGTTGCGAAATTTAATCGCGCGATACGAAAAACATGCGAACGGTGGAGATGAGAATTTTGGAGAAGACCCGTTGTTGACGCGTGGCGTCATGAAGGCTGCGGGTGGAGGAAGCAGGGTGGCAGGCAGGCGTGAAAGCCAAAGCCGGATTTCGCTTGGCGGGCCCACTTGGTCGGGCTTGCCATATCTGACGATGCGCACCAAGTCAGCACGCGCCCTACGGTGAAGACCCGTCCATCTTCCGGGCTTCGCGCTCGAGCTTCAAGAGTCTTCGGAAGACGCGCCCCCCGATGCACTCCAAGTATTGTTATATAAGTGCACATATCCTACATCAGCTTGCGTTTAGAACGATGGAAACGTCATTGATACTTCTAGAGGGCAAAACCATCCCCCCAGGGTGCGTCAAGGCACATACTACAGTACCTAGGTATCTACTACCATCATTAAAACAATCCACACCCAATCGCCCCCGTAAGGAGACTGTCAGCTCTCGGCTACGAGCGCGAACTCCTCTGTAGACATTCCAAAATCAATGTATCCGCAACCTCACCCACCCAAAACCTCACCCCTCCCACCCTCCTACACCCCAACCCCTCTCCGCCGCCCTAACCTCCTCCACCACCCCCCTCTCCCTCCCCTCATACGTCCACCCCCTCTCCCCCACCATCCTCCTCTCACATCCCTCCCACAACCTCTCCATTTCCTCATCCCTCTTATTCCATCCCGGTTTCCTAAACACCGGCTTCTCCCATGGGTCATCTGCGGCCCGTTTAATATATCCTTTTGCCTCTTTCCAAACCATAAGTTCGCGCCATTCGCCGATGTGGTAGTAGTCTGAAAGGGAGGGGAGGTGCGGGAAGAGGCGGTGCCATGCTGCGCGGGGGCCTTCGTTGGGTGGTGGTGTGGGGGGTGTGAGGGGTGGGGAGGGGACGGTGGATGAGGAGGAGGAGGAGGAGGAGGCAGCGGTGCGGAGGGCGAGGGTGCGGGCGGCGGTTTCTAGTGCGAGGGCGGAGGAGGATAGTGGTGCGTTTTGGCTCCCAACTGGACGTGGAGCGGTAGCGGCAGCGGAGCGCGTAGCTGGTTTTGATGTAGAACGCGAAGCCGCATGTCCACGTGACCTTGAAGCTCCGCTCGTTTTCTCCCGTGAAATCTCTTCATTTTGAGAGGCTTTCAATGTTTTCGTCCGCTTTCTTCGGCCTCTTTCTTCGACTTGCGCTTCTGCTTCCTGCTCTTGCGCTAAGGCGTCACTTGCCTCTATCACTTCTTCCTGATATAAGAAAAGAGAAACGCGTTTGCGCTTCGGACTATTCACCTTAGGATCTTGAACTTCTTGAACTTTTTGCACCACTTGTGCATCAGCCTTACCTCTGGGCACAACCTGATTCCAAATCCTCACTGGGATAAGCAGTTTAGGTGATTTCTTCTCCTTTGCAGCAACCTCTACTTCCACTTCCACTTCTACTTCCACTTCCACTTCTGGTGGTGGTGGTGGTGGTGGTGAAGAAACAGCCTCTTCCTGCACCCCCTCTTCCTCTTCTACCTCCACATCTTCATCCTCCTCATATGCACTCTCCGTCTCTTCTCCTTGATCAACCCCTTCATCCACACCTCCATCCATCTCGCGATAAGGCAACAGATTCCTCAACAGGTTGGCGTTCATGGCCTGCACTCCAGGGGTGGTGGCTAGGGATTGGAAAGACATGATGTGTAGGAGTCTCGCGTATGTTTTGGGAATCGACTACTTGGATGCGAGTGTGATGTATGAGCCTGGGTGTGGTGTCAAGTGCGTTTGTAGTAGTCGTAGGTGTATGTAGTAAGCAACTGTATGTATCACCCAATCGTATGTAGTAGTTGGGCCGATGTGTAGTCAGTTGAGTGTGTGATGACGGCGTGAATCTACGTAGGTTGACGGTATATAGTCCACTGAGTGTGTGATGACAGCGCGGATGTGAACTGGTTGATCGTATGTATCAGTTGAGCAGGTGCGTGATCCTTCAGCGTGGGTGGTGGTCGAGCGAGCGTGTATAGTTGGCTCAGTGCTTTAGTCAGTGCGTGATGGGTAGCTCTCTGAAAATGGATAAACAGCAGGATATATCCAGACTTATAAACAAAAAGCAGTGTGATAATTCCCAGCGGGCTTGACTGAATGCAACGACTGTTTCCAGAGTTCGCGCTCCCAAGTAGAGACTCGCGCAGTGTGTTTGGACAAGTGCCCCGAAAGCCTACCGCAGATAGTTCCCACGTCAAACGTGGGAGCAGATCACTAGCCCAAGGTCCTCGCCGCACGAGCCACTGGGTTGTTGTGAATTGATAGATGTTTTGGATATCGAGGCATTGCCACTGGTTGCAGAAGTGGAAGTGGGCCGCGGCTCTAATACCCGTGAGTGCATGCCTTGGGTGAGCAAATACACGGCCAATGGAAATTCGAACATTGCACAATCAGCTCGAAGGACGATGACAACACAACGAGAAAAGAACCAAGTATGACGAGTAAATGCTACGGACTGACCTATGCTGACACTAACGATACATTCGTCGCACTGGCGGACCCGAGGAGCAAATATTAGACATTACGACGTGACGCGAATTTGACCCACCTCACTGAGCCGCCACACTTTCCCGCGCTTTTCCACTGTCCATCCTGCTGAAGGACAAGATCCTTTCATGCTCTGTAGCCTCCTGCTGTTTGAACTTGGAAATCAGATCCATGGTGCTTCGTCTAACGCTGACCAAGCTCCGCTCCTCGAAAGCGCTGTCATCTTGACCCAGCGAGCCGAAGCTCCTGGCGCGGCTCCCATTGCTCATCTGACTCATCTGACTAGCGTTGCGCGTGTGTTTGCGCAGATGAGTAGGCAAAGTGCGCGAGTGCACGGACACCTGCCGGCTATCGAATGAGTGCCGATTCTGACGACCAAAGTCCTCGAGAACTCGGTTCGTGTCCATACTCAGACGAGGGTATGCATCGACGCAGTTCTCGTAGTAGGTAGACCAGACACGTGCTCGATCGTTTGCGTGCTGCGCATCAGCTGCGCCATCGCCGAACGACATCTCGTTGAGATTGGGCGCAGAAGAATTGCGCCGTGGACGGAGTGTTGCCATGGAATCCTCCGCTCGTAGATTGCTCCTGGATTTAGTCGTCTTCTTCAAGGTTTCTTGTCTCAGCACGGACTGCTCATCACCTGGGATATATGTGTCAACGTCTCTGTGAACTTCACCCGCCCACACATCAGGCAGGAGCTCGAGCTCAGGATGCTCAAGAATGCCGCCAGATGCGATGGAACTGCGGTGTCCTCTACCATGCCTGCGAAATTCTGTGCTCTGACTCCTGAACATTTTGGTGTAGTTCTTCATGAGGGTCTTGCCGAACGTCATCGAGTTGCTCTTCGCTACACGACCACTGCCAACTTTCTTCTTTTTCTTTTTCTCGCCAGGCAGCAGTAGGGTAGACGGTCTTCTCGCTGTGGGATCGATGAGGTCCTCGTCATCCGTTGCCGAAGCAAACTTGATCGCTGCCTCTAGTGCAAAGTCGCGAGGCTGAACGTTGTCAGCCTTTCCGGCAGAGGCGGTACGGTCATGGCGCGTGTGCGAAGGGTAGCGACCCCAGGCCCCCACGACATCCGTGCTGTCGCCCTGCCGCTCAAATGCATTTGCCACTTCTTGTCCAACGCTAACATCATCACGCCCTACCATAGCACTGCGACGAGACACCATTTTGAACAGCCCCTCGGAGCGCTCTTCACCAGGTGTTTCGGCATGGGGATCCAATGTCGATACCCGTGTGCTAGACCCATCGTCAGCTCGACTAGCTGGATCTAGGCCTTCGACACTGATGCGTCTGACGGAAACGCTGCCGCTACGCTCGCGGAATGGGCTCGCATGGACAGCAAGGTCCCTGTTCTTGGGAAGATAGAGAGATGCTTTCTCGTCTTGATGCGCTTGCAAAGCGCGATCCCATACATGGTTGGCGCCTTTGTTCTTCCCAAGTGCATCTTGTTCAGCCTGCATACTTATCAATGACCGTGACTGACGACGTCCATGATTAACAGGGAGTTCCAGCGTATCAGATGGACCATCGACAGCGGCAAGCGCGACAGTCGAGGAGGCGGAAGCTTCAGATTGTAGATTGGCTTCACTCTGGCTGCGCAGACTTAGGCGCTTCGGATTCAAGAACTTGATGATGGATGCCGACTGTGTCATCTTCTTCTTGGGTGGAGAGGGGCTGAACTCTTCCCGAAATTTGGAGGTCTTGGTATCAGCAACACTGTTCTTGCGTGCTAGCGGCGCGGGCGGTGCAAGAAGCGAAGGCTCGATCGGATGGCCAGTGACAGTTGCGAGGTTGGTAAGACCATGTCGTTTAGCTGGTCTTGGTGTGTCTTCGTTGTCTGTAGGAAAGGAAGCAGAACGTCGAGGCCGTCGTATATCAGCAGAGGAAATGCTGACCGGGCGATTCTCAGTATCAGTGCGCGGTAGAGTCGTCACTGATCCTCCAAAACTATCAGGTGGGCTTTGAGGTCGACTCGAGTAGATGGAAGACGCAACATCAGGTCGGGTGTCAAGATCGTTCGGCAATACCTTACCCCATCTACTCGGAACCTTTGAGCTGGCAAAGCCCGAGCTCGATGTTTGCCGATCATGGCGGGCTAGTTGCTTACTTCGTGGGGAAGTTCGACTCTGGTCTGAGACAGTGCGTTCACGGAATGCGCGAGGCGGAGTTGGGAGCTCTGGTGCATCGGCAAGTTGGTCCCATGAGAGAAGAGACCCGGAGCGTAGATGATGTGAGATGCGCATGCTGTAAAGATGGACAGACCGACGTGGGTTGTCATCATCGTCATCGTCCTCGCCGTTGTGTGCCCCTCCTCGTGCCTTTCGCGGTGAATCTCCACGGAGAGTGCCTCTGATAGATGTAGACGGCCTTGGGGTTGCAGTGGATGTTGGCTGTTGAACGCGGATCTCAATGAGGCGACCACAAGGAGAAGCAGTCGGTCCAAGAGCTCGGTGCGACGATACCGAAGCGGAGCTGCTTCGTTTCTGGTGTCGCTTGTGGCCGTCGTTTTTGAAGGTTGTAACGGATGCTTGTGGGCTGATGTGGCGTGGAGGCACAGGAAACTGCGAAAGACGAAGGCTCTTGTGCATCACCTCAGCCCACGGTATTCCAGCTGAGTCGTGATCGGTAAGGCTTGGTAGTCGTAACGGCGAAAGGGGAGAAGGTTTCGGCAAGCCCATGGATGTAGCCGAATGCGATCGTCTGACCCTGTTATCCTTTCCACCAGGCGTATCCGATCGCAGATTGGGCGTGCTGAACACTTGGCTGAACCGGTGGGAGAAAGGACCGGCGTGTGGTTTATCGATGCTGTAGGGAGGGAGGTCATCATTGAGCTCGCCGCTAATACGGTCTCTCTTCGACGAGTCTGGTGTTGTTTTGCTGGCCATTATTAGTACGACGTGACAACGAGCTCGCAACATCTAACCTTCCGGTAGTGGTAGTCCAATCGATGCTGTGGATACTTGCACGCTTGATAGGTGACTTCTTGCCAATGTTGTTTGCAATTTCGTCAAGTGCCTCAGCATCTGAATCATAACCGCCCTCATCAGGCTTCTTGTCGCTGAGTAGATCCTTCCGTAGGTCATCTTTGGTAATCTGAAGCTGCTGATTCGTTCCGTCTTTCAGCTGCTTGACGACAGTGCCGGCAGCTGGAGTAATGTTCCTTGGTCTCGGCTGCAAATGCGGTGATGAAACGGTCGGAGCTTTCTTAGGAAGCTCTTGCGAAAACTTGCGTCTGATCAGTGAACGCATACTCGTCATCTTGTGTAGACTGCGGATGCTATGCATCGAAGGGCGGCTGAAGCGTGTACGAAGCGTCCGCATTGGCATAGCTCGGTCTTCGTTGGAGTCGCGAGCATTGTGGAAGATCTCATGCAGCTCATGGAGGTCTTCCGAACGGGCACTCGTGAACCGTGAATTGGGCGAGCTAGCATCTTTGGCTAGGAGTGGCCTGTTCACCGGTGTAGGCTGACTGACGCGGGCGTTGGGTAGCTCGGGCGAATCTGAACGATCGTCCTGCTCGGCCGTACAGCACAGCTTGGTCGCCATGATGGCAAGGTGGTGAGGGAAGGATGAGTGGGTGGCTGCACATGGAAAGTTGCTGGTTTGTTGATGGCTGCGTCAGTGCACGTGGAGTGCTTGCCCACAGTCGGAAGCTGGGAAAGAGGGATGGAAACAGGACAGCTTTCCGATCCAACATGAGCTTATGGAAGTGCCAATGGTTGCAGGAGACATAGTAACGTATGAGAAAGCGGATCTGATGACGAGGAGCAGACACAGTGGCGTGAGATGCTGCATGGGTTGGGCACTCGCGGCTGCACCTATGTTGTGGCCTCATATGGTGTGGAAGGAGCGTGTCATATGCCGTTCATGGCGACTTCCCAATGCAGTGACTATCCAAACATACGAAACAGATCTGACGCAGCCGAAGTGGCGTTTTGTCGCGATGTGCATGCCCTCTGGTGTTGCGTCTGAGAGACTCGGATATGCATCACTGTTGCACATGCCATGCACGTGGTTGTATTTCAGCCCATCATCTTTTTGCCGCTAGCATCCTCGCTGTATAGGCCCTGGTCTTTGATCCAAGCGGCGACGCCTTCAGTACACAACTTGCCCACTGTGTCCCAGTGTCCCGCATTTGCTGCCTTTCTCACTCTGGT